TTTAACGACTAAAGAGCAGATGGTCTTATTTCCACCTGTGAAATCTCTGCCAAGCGTGCATAATCTTCTTTGATCTTGCAACTACAACATAGATACGATGCTTAACCTAATAAAACTCCTTATAAGGAAACCTAAAATCACAGGTGAGCGTTTTCTGTTATAGGAGGGCCAAGAATCCTCGCTGTCCCATAGGATGAAAAGTTTTTCCGTACATCGGCTAAATGAGTCGTGTGATCTCATAAATGTCGTTCAAATGAAGCCATTGATATACCTACCGAGTTCCTTCTTGGACGGATGTGGTCGAATCTTTCCTTGTCGATTCACCACTTTTACAATTCGTCTTAATATATATGAACTGGTTTCTTTGAGTCTTACTGCTGTAGTAACGGCCGCCCCGATCAATTTCGTCAATCGGAGGTAAATGCAACATCGCATTAAGAGTGTATGAGGGCGTCAGACAAAGGTGCGCTTACACAATTTCATTTAGCCATCTGAAAACTAAGTTCGTATAAAATAAACATAGGGCCTAAGCAGATCAACAACATGAGGTTTCTATATATAACGGCTGCAGCGCCATCCTTGGGTAGCTTTTCTGCAAAACCATTTCTTATCATGAAATGAATACGCATTATGAATTTCAGGCAGGTTGTTTAAAAAATAAGGATTTCATAAATATCTCGACCATATAGCGGGTCAATTTTTAGCAAACGAATTCATCATACATTGCGAATTCGAACATGATAGGTGAAGAAATACATAAATATATGTACTTATAAATGACTCGACTCCAGAGCCACCAGGCGAGTTTTCCAGTGGTTAGTCCATAGGTAATAGGACCATATCGACTGTTGAGTGGAAGGTCGACCTATATCGGCAACCAGTTCGAAAACGGCCTATCTCAAAAAAGTTTTCATGAGCGCTCTATCTCAGAATTTGGTTGAAGAACGCCCTATTTCAGAATACGAATGTCCTATCTCAATTTAAAATGTATTGAAAATATGCTGACATAGGGCGTTTTTCAACCAAATTGTGAAATAGGATGTTTTTGAAAAGTTTTTTGAGATAGGATGTTTTCGAACTGGCTTCCGAGATAGGCCGATCTTCCACTTAGCAGTCGATATGTGAAAGATATAACTTCCGACAATTTGACTGAACTCTATGCAGTGATTTTTGAGTTTAGTCCGAAGAACAAAAACAGCTACCATTTTATCTATATAGGTATTTGTGTAGTCCTATCTATAACGAAACTTATAAAAATTCAAGTTTCAAACCTCAAACATTTTTCAAAATTTTCACAAAAAATTTTACCCTTTCCCAAAAATCAAAAAAAAACTAACAATTGCTCAATGCGATTTAGAAATCTAGGAAAAAACATTTTTTGTTGCAATAATTTTTAATATGTGGCTTTCGTCGTTTAGACATTTCAGTTTTAAAGCTATTTAAGTCCTCTTTCATTGATACCAAACTGCTTTAATTTGGATAAGCGGTTTGTTTATTATCCGGAAAAGACTTTTATTTCGGAATAATATTCGCAACAACCCACGTTCCAAATAATGGCGAAATCGGTCCAGCCGTTTAGTAGTTTAGTGACATTCAATATACGGAAAACTCTGTGAAATTTTGAAATCGTGACGTCTCAGCTTTCTGAATTTTTTTTTCAATAAAAACAAAAAGTTTTGAATTATTTTAAATCAAAAACCTTCCACACAGAAGGCCCAAAGAAGTACTTTTTACAGAATTTCAATCGGTTCAGCCGTTTGGTCAGGCATCGCCGTCATACGAAAAACATTTCGTTTTTATATATATATGTAGATGTATATAACAATTTCATATTAATACTACACAATTTTTCTAAAATTATAATCGCTAAAGCCTGCGACAGCCATCACCAATGCGACAGCAAAATGGAGGACATATTCTGATGGTTGCAGCCACACGTGAAATTGAGCATCTCATAGGCATAGGACTGGGTGGACACTGTCTTTCGCATACTCTTTGGCCTACAGATGCTTGTATCGATATCATCGAACATGCTATTTGAGCTAAAAATAAAAAATGCGATAAATAAAGAAATATTTATATTTTTGTATATTTTATGCCAATTAATCGGCTAATTTGAAATTACCATCTACTGTGATAAGGGCCAGAAGTAAAAGGATCAGTATTGCGCTATAATTTTTTGTCATTTTTGCGGTGTATAGTCGTAGGGCAGGCGATAGTTTGTCAGGTTATATGTTGAAATGGTGAATTGCATGAGCTTTTATACTTTTAATACTACTGCAGCATATGCTATATATTTATGTATATGTATATATATATGAATAAGCGCACTGCTGAACAAAAAGGCTTTTTCTTTAACCTTCGTAAGTTAATGCATATGTACAAAATTTCTCCAAATGGCTAATTTGTTTGTATTCTTTAAAACCATTATAGGAAAAGTATTTTACCCATTGTGATATGAACTTATTCGTCAAAATTTTTGTAAATAAGCATACATACATATGTATGTACATTAAGGTGATCCTTAAAAATAGCAATATCAATTTTGTGATTGGGACACCCTTTTATTTTGTTCTACGTACAAAATAAAGACATCCACGAAAATTTCAAAATTTTAAAATAATTTTTAGGATTCGCTAACAATAATAATAATATCTCAAATTTATCAGATTTCAAGACAAAAATTTTGTCGAATTTTTGCGATTTAAAAAAAAATTTAACCCGTGATAGCGACCCCAAAAATTTTAAACCCTAGATGTTTTGTATATAGGACCAAATAAATGGGTGCGCCATACGAAATTTATTCGTGAATATTTTAAGGATCACCCTAAGCTATATCAAATGATTAACAACTACCTATACTAGATTTTTATTCTCCTCCAAGAGAAAATTCGTGCTCAGCTTAATGCAGAGATAAAGTAAAAAAAAAAACAGAATTTGTAATTTGACAGCCGTCAAAATTAGCGGTTGAACTAATTTTTTATTTAGTCAAGTCTGGCTTTTACGAGAATGGGTCGCTTAATCACTGCCCACCGCTTTAATATATATTATCAACACCTACTACATACATACAAAAATTATGGTTTCCACATTTCGCGATTTAAAATGATGTATGTATATATGTACTCTAGGGTGGTCCAAAAATGCACCTGAAAAAGTAAAGTCGAAATTTGTATGCTCTCAACTCCTAGGATTGTTCTGTGCCGAAAAAAGTATACCCCTTTTTTGTTTTGAAATCAAAAAATATTTAGAGGTCGCTCAAAGCGCTCAAAGATAAATAAAAAATCTTTAGTATTAAAAAATTGTTTAATAAACAATTGTGTATTGTTATTGGAAGTATCCTGAAGAGAACCAGAGTTTTCCGATCGAAAAATATTGATTTTCATGATTTATATACCATTTCTATGAAAAGTTGTTTTTCCCCCATATAAAATATATGCAAAACTTTAAGCGATTTGAGCGACCTCTAAATATTTTTTGGATTTCAAAACAAAAAATAGGGATATGCTTTTTTCGATATAGAAAAATCCTAAGGGGTGAGAGCATCGAAATTCCGACTTTACTTTACTGTTGTATTCAAAGTTTTGCGATATAGTACTCTTCTGTAAAATTTTTAAAATGGGACTTAGCAGCTTTTCGCTCTAAGCTAGCGATATCAGCCCTTTCAGTATGAATAAAAACGAAGTTGTTACATTTTATTTAAAATAATTTCAATTAACTACGTTAAATTTGGCATTCAAAATATATAGAAAGTTGCCCTTAAAAAGTATTTTGGAGATAAAACTTTCCATATCTTGTTTATTAATTTGATTCTAAATTTCTAAGCAGGTTGCAAGCCTCTTCAAAAATGGGAGTAAAGCCATCTTAAACTCTTTATATCAAAACTTATTAATATATTCATAAAAAAATTGTTTCAGGTGGCAACCCTTTTCGGCAATACTTTAGTGGTAAGGCATAATTAAACCTCTTTGGTTTGACATCTATATCAAAATAATTCATTTAAATTGTTGATTGAGTATCTGAACAGGTGGCAGCCCTCCTCATAAATATTTAAATAATAAAGCACGCCTTAACCTCTCTCGTTTGATATCCATATAAATGTATTTTGTTTAGCTTATTAATTGATCATGTGGCAACTCTATTCAAAAAAAATTTACAAATGCTACTTTCGTAGACCTTTCTCGTTCGACACCCATGTTAAAATATATTATTTAGCATGTTCATTAAATTTGTTTTGAATTTCTATACATGTGGCAACCTTTGTCAAATATATTTTCAAATTAGAGCTTTCTTATCCCTCTGTAGTTTGATATTCATAGACAAATTTGTTATTCAATTTGTCAATTAAATTGATTTTCAATTTTTAAACAGGGAAACCCTCTTCAAAATCGAAATATTTGAGAAAATACTTGGTTAGTAACTCAGAATTTGTACTTATTTCAATTTGCAATCACGCAAAGGTACAAGGCCTTTAAAGGTTAATTTCAGAGTCTTATCTTTTTCTGTGATCTATCCACAGATTTTTTTTTGCGGTGCTATATGAAAATTTACCTTAAAAAATATTCGTTGAACAAGCATTTACTCTTCTTCGAGTTCCAGCTGGTTAAATATTGCGCGATATTGCAAATACATATCACCCGGCAATTAAGCACTGTGCAAATACAGTATGTGCAAATGCTTTGTTCACATCAATAACATAAAAATTTTGGTACAATTAATAAATAATTCTTAAAGACAATATTGTTTACATCAGCAAGTCTCAATACACTCATTTTCATAATAAGTATTTATGTGTATACATATGTGCACCAAAAGAGACTATACATTGCAAAGGTCTGTTGCCAAATATTTCTTTGTTTATATCTTTTAAATAAAAGATTATACATATTTATTTTTAAAGAGATATTTTATATAGTATACAATTTCCACAACACTCAGCTTCTGTTGAGCACGGCCGTTCTTTTCTATAAATACGTCGTAACTGAAGCAAACTCATCACATTTAAACTAAGAGTAACATATCATAAGGATAATAAGCTTTATATTTCTGCCGAAAAAATGAAATTATTCACATGTATCTTTTTTCTGTTTTGCATAGCTGCAACAGCTTCTGGTAAGCCTTTATATACAAATAATACTTTTACATATTAACATCAGAGTGCATCGCTCCCCCATAAAAAAAAAAAATCGGTACTGTGTTTCCATTGGAATTATAAAATCTATTATATTTAAGACGTCCACCAAAATATTTCTGAAAAATTTTAAGATTTTAAATATAATATATTTTGTAATCCCGGGGAAAAACCGCAACTTTTTTTTTTTGGTGATGCAGTCTAATATAAATAAATATACATATTCACACATACATATATGTATCTACATAACTAACTTTTTCAATTACCATTTCTTACAGCGCAAATTAGACCATGTCAAATGATGTCAATCCGATTAAGAGTGCCACAAAGAGTGTGCCAAAGGTCTTGTATACCGTTGAGAGGGCAAACTGTGTTTTGTGTTTTGGCAAAAGCTGGTCAAATCATTTCTCTGTGTCCGCAACCTTGCTGTCGGATGGGCAATTCCTGCCGTATTGCGGGTGGAGTAGGAAAATAAAAAACTTAAAAAGAATATATTTATAACAAAAAAGTTATCGCTCCGAGTTTTATTTAATGATTCCCATAGGTACATATATCTACACAGGGTTAAACCTTAGTCATAATCAGGGAACGGATTTTAAGAAAGTTTTCTTTTTTCTGCGCAAAATTATTCTTTAAAAATAGTCGTGTAAGTAGTATTATAGTATTTTGTATAAGATTTAGAAAATTCTTATAGAGGCGCAGATGCCTACTACCAAACTGGTTTTAAAAAATTATATTTAATTGACTTATGCATTTACTATACAAAACGCAAGTGAAGTGCATCGAACATCCATACGCACATGTGTATAAGAGGATATGCATTGTTTATGCAATTCTCAAATATCTCCTCGCTGAACTTATTGACGTAATAAGTCACTGGCATTGCCAACTATGATTAATAAACCGTACCACTTTACAAACAAACAAAAAAGTTCGCCGTACATCTGTCAGTCTAAAATATTTTTGAAAGGTAAATTCGAATTTTTTTTTGCGGAACCCAGGGGTAACCTTTTATACTATTCGGTGACACCTACATACATACGTTCAGCGAAAAAAAAATGTTTAAAGAGTTATTCTACTAAATCTACTACTAAACGATAAAAAAATTTCTTTTCTGCTGAGTTTTTATTTACTGACATTAGGGTGGGAACACGATCGTCAACGCTCCTAGTCTTAACACATATATCCCTAAACTCCATCGCCAGAGTTATTTGGGACCCCTTTAGTAAGCTACGTACTGCTTACAAACCAAACAAGGACTCTCCATGGAGTCATGCAGAGGTGGCACCATTATGGTAGCCTTTGACTAAGCACTCCTACCCACATCCTGAGTAAATCCCAGTTTTTTGCACAGCTAGAGCATAACTCCTTCCATGGTGAAAGAGCCTAATCCTGCGCTAACGCTTCACCTGCCTGCCCTCACATATCTCTCTCTCTCTCTCGGATATGAATCAGGCTTATGAAGTGCCTTGCTGACTTAATGCCCGCTCATAAACCATAAGCACAGTATAGACAGTAACCAACCTTTTTGGGTTGTTGTTGTAGTAGTGGTTGTTGTTGTAGTTATATTCACTCCTGAGGAAGGCACGGGGTTGTGTGCTGCTATTTAATGGCCTTCCTCAGACTTTTTCTTAGATTTCAGGGTTGTGTGCTGTATTATTATTAGATAAATAAATTTAAGCATTTGTCAAATCGTGATTTTATTAAAAGAAAATTATCAATGGTGTTGAAAAACCAAACAAACACTCGTGCGAAAGCTCTATTTTTGTGTATTGTAAAAATTTATACATGGCGTACTTATTCTTTTGTGGACTGTATGTTACTTGAGAATTTAGACAACGTGCGAGCTGCCAGGTTCTGTTATCAATATAATTAACACAAGCTTTTCCGAGTGGTTGCCTTTCAATAAAAAGAATAAACAAATATTCGCAAATAAATTGGATTTATTTTATAACTGACAACTAACCTACGCTTTTTGTTCTTTTCT